GCATGATTTTTTTTATGTACTGTTCAGGCAGACTTTGCACTAGATGCAGCAATAGCTTTGCATCTGTAGGCTTAGGCTTCATTTGCTTAAAGTAATAGTTCTCAATCTTTTGAGGCTTGAGGCACCCCTGGAAAATTCCATGTCTGTTTTAACTTGTTTTTTACTACAGAAATATAATAGAGCATTTTTTTTCTGTTGCAGAGAATTTGGGAAGACTGCAGTTATGGATTTGTATTTGAAATCAGTAGGTTTATCTTGTGACTCGTGTTTATAAACCTAGTTGTGTGTGGCACCTGGATCCTTGAAAGGATCTCAGTGTGTCATTGCACCCTGGTTGAAAATCACTGGCCTAAAGTTGCATTTGATGGTCATAGACCTGTCTTCCCAACAGTGAGCAGTAACGCCGCCTTTCCAAAACTGAAATAAAAAACCCCCAAACTATTCTTCATAGTCACAGATGCAAAGAACAGTTAATATGTATAAAAGGTGAGAGGCTTTAGTACTCTTGCTTTAAAAATACCATTGAATTAAAAAAAATAGCCAAAATCTTTATTTATTCATTCATTCTTCCCACTGTATTCCATTGTTGACTCCTTCCCTGTTCAGCTGCCCATTTTTGCAGACACAAGGGAACTTGACACGATGATGAGCAGAATTGGTACCTCTCCCCACCATTTTAAAGTCAAAAGTTAAAGTGTTCATGCATTCCCGAGATCATAGGGAAAATGAACTTTAGGGCGTGTGTTAGTCATCTTTACATTTTTGTTGTCTTTGATTTTAGCTAGATTTTTAGTAGCTTTTTGTCTGAGTTTTTTGTTATCCCTTCAGTTGAGTGTTTGAAAGTACTTTTTCATGATGGATCTGCATTTATTAGATGCATGGTAACTACTGTGCTTAACTGGCTATTAATATGGAATGCTATGGAGAACAAATAGACATTTGCACTTATCTGTTAGTTTAAAAAGTTCTAATAATGTGCTCTTATTTGTAATTAAAGTAATACATATTGCTCTTTAATTACAGATATATTTTCTTATATAGTGTATATTGGACTAGGTATAGTGCATCTAAATTGGGTTGCTAAAGATACTGTGGAATAACAGATCCTTTTTAAAAGTTAAACACTTCTCCCTCCTCCCCCCCCCCCCCCCAAAAAAAAAAAAAAACAAAAAACCCCAAACAAACCACAAACAAAAAAAACCAAACTGTAGACTGTCTATTTCTAAACAAGTTTATTGGGTGAGAATCTGTTCAGTGTGGAACCTTTACATTTTAATACCTTGCCCCTTTTTAGAATGACTGGCTTAACAGCACCAGTTGTAATGCCTTTTCAGTTCAGCAAACTAACAGCAGATTGTTGAACATTTTTTTTCCCCTTCCTTCTCAGCCCTGACAGGCATTATTTAAGATGTTTTCACTACAGACTTTTTTTGCATTTAATACCAGGCTATTAATTCTTTTAATTCTAGCAACCCATTTTAGCTCTTTGTACACTTTGGTATACATAATGGTTAGATTTAAGTTCTGGATGAAGGAAATAGAATTACAGCAGGGATGCAAAGTGTTATACTGGGGGTGGGAGGAGGGGAGCGGGGAGAAACAAGCATGCATTGACATGGGCTCCACTGTACCAGACTTTCCAAATAGTTTTGGCAAATAGTTATGATCTCACTTAGTTTCCACTAACCAAGCGAAAGGCTAGCAGCTGTAATATGTGGTGTTGCTGCTAGGTATATACTAAGTTTAATCAACAAGCTTATTTTTAATTAAAATAGGCTACCTTCAGAATGACATACCTTTTGGTGTAAAAAGAAAAAAAAAATTAAGAAAATGTGTGGAAGCTTCTGCATTATTCATTTTGTTTTTTCTCCAAAACTAGTTTTCACCTAATAATGCATTCCGAATTACTTAAAAAAAAAAAAAAAAAATACTTAGTGTAGCGTGTTTTTTAAACCACAAATACTGGAGATTGTGAAGAGTTTAAAGTGTCTTAGAACTGTCCAATGGAGTTGTTCTATTTGTTTAAATTAAGCTGGACATACCACGGAAATTTAAACACTATTTGGTGAAATATTGTGGTCATGAGGAAACAACTTAGACATCAAATATATTTGCCACCCTTGCATCCCCCATGAAAAAAATCATAATGCTTAAAACTCTGCTAGTTGCTTGTAAAAGTAAAGTTTAATTACATTTGCTCACAGCAGATTTTTGACAATTAATGAGTAAAAGCAGTCCTCATTATATTTTATTGTACTTAAAACGTAGTTAGTTAACTTGGAATTGAGCCAACACTGATTCTCCTTGAACTCTGACTAATATATTTCTCCTAACGCAACAATACAGTTTTGTTGACTGAGGACATTAAGCCCAAAATTGAGTTGATGGACTTGTACTTTAATCTTCTTACTGTAAGGTGGGAGGAGGAGGAGAATTATGCCTGTGTGTACGTAAAAATGTAGGTATTGCTGTAATGGTCAGTTTATCACTTCCCTTTTAACACTTAGATTCATACTGCTTATGAAGTTGTTTATGAAGCTGAGCGCAACTGAATTTTGAAAGGGAAGTAGTAACCATATAAAATTGTCTCACTTCACTCCATTTTCACTCTGGGGGGAGTATGCAGAAAGTTTTTTACTCTGATTTCTCTTTTTTTGGTACAGTCGTATGAGTTTGATATGAGTGATGTAACTAGTGGGGAGACCAGGGCAGCATCCCTGTTGCAGTTGAGGGGGTGGGCAGCGATACAGCTGCTCCTACAGCCTCACAGTCGCTGTGTGGCAGCTTCCCTGGGTGCCTAACTGCTTTGTTACAATTCTGGTTCATGCACTTGATAACAGTGCAGCTACACCTTGGCTAAGCCCATCTTTTAGAAGTCTTTGTCCTCTGTGTCCAGGACTGTCTTGATTGCTGCAGTCACTTCATTATTGTCACCGAAACTCTTTCTACAAGTGTCTACTTTCCATTTTGGGAGCAGATAAGTCTTGAAGGGATCACATCTGGCAAATAGGCTCGATGAGGAAACGGCTTCCTGTTTTTACTATGGTATAAAAGACATCATCTTTCAGTGTTGTTACCAAGTTCTCATGGATTTTCTTTGCTGTGAAGCTTTATGGTGGTGCCTGGGCAGTACCCTGATTTCATTCTTCATTTTTCAAATGTTTGGTGATTGGCTCACTTGGATGCACCATTGTACAAGATCTGTGTAGATGTAATACTGACTGCTGAAAAACAAATGTATCAAAATATCCATACTTGATCTGTGAAATCTGTTGGGCTCTGGTGTATGATTTAATGGGTCAGGGGAGATGCTTTCTGAAGCCTCTTGTGCTCTTAGACACTTTCATGTTTTTCCCTGCTCTCAATACTGAGACCCACAGCAGGTATTGCTTCAGTCACTTAAAGTTGTACTGTGCTCAACATATTAATGGATGGATGACTTATAACAGGGGTGGACACCCTGCAGCATGTGTGCCACAAGCATTGTATGCAGCATGCAAGCACTGGGTGCTCAGCAAAGGAAAGCACCAGAATGGAAGCAGAGTGGCTTGAGACTCTGACTGCATGGAATGGAGTTGAGATTGCTGTGAAAGGAGGTGTTAGGTATATATTACCATCAAGAGCCAAGGTAGTTCCCTGGCCCTGCAGCCACTGTCTCACTCCAGGCTTTGGATCCTTGCTTACTGTGTAAAACTGCCGCAGTTGCAGGGCCAGAAAAGGGTTAAGTTGGCTCTTGGGCAATACGTTTCTTGGAACAGCATTCTGGTCCTGCTTTGTCCTTCCTAGCTGGAGGCCTCAGGCCCGCTCCCC